CAAGTCGATAGGATTACTAAAAGTATTTCTTATTTTTAAATTGAAGTCCAAAAAACTCTGGCCAGACCACTCCGACCGACGGAGGGTTAATGCAGGACGGATTACATATCCAATCGAGACAAAAAAATATTTTAGTATTGTTTAGGATCCTATTGAAAAACGCCTGTTACTACTTACTCGTTGTAATATCCTCCTATATTTGTTTGAACTTAGGTATTATATAAAATAAATAAAGCTAATGAAAATAAATTCACATCGGTTCACTATCGATGGGCTTCTAGACCCCTGAACTATTGATTTCAAATCAAAGTAGTCGAATGCTCCTAGCAAACGTAAAACAAAAACGGTTTGAACACAGTTCATCAGTAAAATATCGTCGAGTCAGACTTAACAAAATCAATATTTATTGATCTGTCCATTATCTGTCTTTAATTAAAAAATTATTACATCCGATGGATTTAACTCCGATGCGGTTAAACGAAACTATGGACTGTATGATATGGGATTATCGTATAACGTCGGAACATGAGGTAAACGCGGTCTCATTGCAGTCTGGAGGAAAGGTCATATTTATTCGTCTGTATGAATACAAGAAAATTGAAAATAAGGTGTGCCACCAGGACTACCTCATAGGAGTACTAAAACCTGTAAAGAAGGATTCGGCCTGGGTAGAAATCGATGACGGTGTACTACGCATCAGAGCGTTGAAGGTGGTGCCTGAACCCTGGCATGGTTTGAAGGAAAAAATATTTGTTAAAAGAGCAAAGTAATAAAATGTTACTCACATAGTAACATTATACTTATTTACATAATTACTTGTACTTGTTATATAATAACAAATATTATAAAATTTTCAAAAATATACGTTTGAAATTTAGAAGCAAGCTTATAATAGTTTTTTATTTATATTCTATAAATTTCTAAATTTTATACTATATATTATATTATTTTAAAAAATCGCATTTTATCATAAAAATAAATTGCTTGCATTAAAGACAATATTGCTATGCATAAGAATGGCACTTTTAATAATCACTCGTTTTCATAACAGTCTATTATATATTTATAAAAATAAATACTTAAAAAAAAATATGAAGATACTAGGCAATAATGAATAAATTATTAATTTTGCCAAATTATGACATCGGAAAGAATTGACAGATATGTCAAAATAAGCCGACGTCAAAACGTTTTGCAAAACAAATGCTCTTTCGAATATTGTTACAATGAATTACAATAATTTTAACGCCAAATTTGATAATGATTGGTCTCTTTCATTCTTATACTTATTTATCTCTATGGTTACTTTCTAATATAAAATACCTCACAATAGATAAAACAACTATTGGCCTTCTAATTTAAATAGAAGTATCACCACGACTGCTAAATAGAACACTAGTTTTGATTGTTGTTAGAAGAAAACAATAAAAAAGTATGATTTTATTATAATTTTGGAACATAATATGATTTTTTATTACAACCTCTATGGTGATGCATTTTTATAGATGCAGTAAAAAAGAATTTTTTAATACTATTTTGAAGTGAAAGACAAAAAATTAATAAAGAGCCATCTTAATTCTTACGTTGTTGCTATCTGGAGATAAATGGCCATGTATCAACATTTTTAACAAAAGTACTTTGTTCATAAATTCAGCAGTTTATTTTATATATAACCTCTAAAAAAGCTTACATGTGATTGGGATAAAAAGGACCAACTGAACCTTGGCAAAGATGTAAACAATAAAAAATAGTAATTAAGAAAGTGAATAAAGTTAATACAAAATAATTTTACAAGAAATAAATTTATAGTTACTCCAACTCTGCAGATAAATATTTCTAACGAAATACCAGATTAAGGTTATATGCAGTGTAATCTTTGTAATAAATGTGGTCCTGATTTTTTTATTCCGCATTGGGTGAATATTTTATTTAATATTACTTAAATTCCCTTTAAAGTTGAAAATATAACATCTGTTGCATCTGTTCGTCCGATAGCTGTACCTTTTTACCCAGCCTATGAGGAAAAAGGGAAAGGTGACAAATTTTAGTAAAATAACTAAACAACAACTAAAATCAAAAATTAATTGGTTATATTACTGAACATATCGATAGTTGTTGTGTAGTTGGGATGTAGTTGGTTTGGTTTAGAGAGTATGATCACTGAATGTCAAATCGGATCTTAGTGCCTCGACCTACATAGGTTATATACAGTCTAATTTTTGTAATAAATGTGCTTATGAAATTTTATTTTGTATTGGTTAAATAATTTAGCCATTCTTATTTGTTAAATTCCTTCAACCGATTCTAATTGCTATCGCTTGGGTGGAGCGACTAGGGCGGATGCTGAGCACGCCATTGTGGAGTGCAAAAAATGGGAAAAGGGTAGACAAGAACTATATATTTATATATGTTCAATCAAATAAAATAAAATTGTTAAGATAACTTATAAAATGTATATGACTAATGTACGTGTATACAAAATCAACAAATAAACAATAAAAAAAATCTTACAAATTATAAACTAGGACGCTGCATTTATTTGCTGTACCTTTTTATCCAGCCTATGGGGCAAAGAGGGATAGGTGTCTAATTTTATTAAACTAAGTAAAAAACATTTTTCTCTAATTAGGAATTTATTGGGAATTTTTCTATTCAGAGTTTGAAAGTTGTTTAGTAGTATGGTTGGGATGAAGTTCATTTAGTTTAGACAGTATAATTACTGAGTAAAATTGGATCTTTGTGTCCCACCCAGTGATTGATGGATTCAGAATACCAGAATATAATAACTCATAATAATGTCTTTGAGTCCAGGTTCAGATTATGAGTTAGAATACAAAATAATTAAAACTATAGAATACACCAACAGAAAATGTGGAAATGTACCAAATGTCGCCACGTAAATTTCAACCATTACCAGTATTCTGCGACATCTGCGCCTCATACCATGTCATCATATTGATATGAAGCTATCCAGATTTATCGCGTGGCTTATAAAATATATTAATCTGTTTGTGAACCGCTCTCGTCCTGATATATTTAACGCTGTGCGAGGATTTGTAAACTAATAAATAGAGTGTGCATACTGTATTAAATCCTCTAGGAATTAAACTGAAACAGTCTGAAACTAATAAACCGGCCCACACACCGTTCGCTTAGAGATGGAGATATCATACATACGAAAATATCATTTTGAACTCGATTGCGGACGCCGGTGTGGTCCCTTTCGGGCTCTGCTAATGACTTGATAAAGATTTAAAACTAGTGGTGCATGGCATCGTGCCTTAAGGCAAATTGCTGGAACTTCCCGTATCGAACATTAAAATTCCCAAAAAAGATTTAAAATTTTTTGAAAACTTTGAAAAAATGAGATTTTTGAAAACTTCGAAATTTTTGAAAAAAAAGACTTCATTGAAACATGGTTTTTTTTTATATTTCGTAATTTTTTGAAAATTTTGAACTTTTTCTCAAAGCGATAGTGCTACGTGGCTATTTTAGAGTCGAAATATCGAAGCGCGTTAACATCGCGTCGCAGTCTAACGGATGAACATTGGTACGGAACCCATAAAAATTTGAGCTAAATTTATACTTATTATCTAATCTCTGTAAAATATCTGATAATTTGATGTGCATATGTCTAATGATCATTTTTGACCCCCAAATGGCATTTGTTTTACTTCTTTTCACTCGATCTCCGAAACCGTTAGACCTTCTTCATTTTGTCAATATGAGTAATTTTTTTTGTGAATTATTGAATCCGGACGCTCCGTTCTCTCAAAAGCTAGATTACCCTTTTTGGCACTTTTTGCCTTATATTTTCAAAACGGCTCGACCTGCCTTGACCAAAAACTAATCAGCACGCCTCCTTGTCAATTGAAATCGAATGATTTTTGAATTATTGAGATCGGTTGATTCGTGTTCCCGAAATCGTTGTTGAAAAATTGTATCCGCACATACATACATAAATACACGCACACACACATATACATTCATATTTTTTAAGGTGAGCTAAAATGTTCAGAATGGAATGTAACGATATATAAAAAAAAATCATTTTCGATTTTTTTTTGTCAAAAACTAATCAGAATCATTCAAATCGGTAGATCTGTGCTTTCGATATCGTCGACAAAATTTTCTGTTTGTACATATATACAAAAATACTACACACCACACACACATTCATTTTTTCTAAAGTATGCCAAAATGTTCAGAAAACTTTGAAACCTAAAGATATATAAAAAAAATTTCTTTGGATTTTTTGCGATTATTATAACTTACCCTACGGGAAGTTAAATATTAAAATTTGTGGATAAGCTAATGATACAGCCTTTTGTTTGATTTTCAGCAATTTGTAATGGGGTAGGGCAGGACACAAAGGGACATTTTGACTTTGAGCTATTCTATTTTAAAAACCAAACCAATTATATCACAATAAATAACACATATAAAACAACTATCTGACTATCTTCAGTAAAACTCCCAGCTAAATCATCATTGTAGAAATGCATTTTATTTTCTGGACATTTTTACCCCATAAGTGAGATGAAATAGGACAGCTAGGGTGAGAACAAATCCAATGTCCTATTTTTAATTCTAAATGTATTTTATGAACTACAATACTCGACAAATAAAAAATATAAATTTTCACAATTTTATTCGCTCGATTTGAATTCGATTCAGGTGGATTTTTTTGCTAAAAAATTTTAAATTCTATTTTGCTCTTATATTTTTTAAGATCTGATTCCTTACTCACAACTGAATCGTTCATGAATAAAGTAATGGCATCAAGTTTCCATTCAGCATAAATCCAAAATTATTACATTTATCTTTTTTGCTAAACTGTAATCATACATGATATTTGCAATTTCAGTCGCTCAATTTCAATTTCATTCAGGTAGTTTTTTTTTTTTTGAAATAATTATCAAGTTACCAAATTGTATTTAGTTAAAATTTACTAAATTTTCTATTGTTACCATGTTTATAACAACAACATACCAAGTATTTTACGAGAAGACAACCATTATAAACATCTACAGAGAAAATATTTAATTATCAATTAATGTAATTATATTTTGCATTAATATGCTTTTGTTGATTATTAGATAAAAATAATATTTATATATTCTATATATTATTCTATATATTATATTCTATATATTATATATACAGGCAGAAATAAAAAGTTTTATCATCATTTGGGCAATAAGGTAATTTAGTAAAGTTCTCGTAAGTTTCGACTTTAATCTTGCCTCGTTTTTCTTTTAAAACTTTATTAATGCATCGGAAAATGCTTTAATTACTGCGATTTAATACCAGTTTTACATAATTCATTTTTAGCTTTTCTGTCTTCTATTACATTAGCAAATTAACTAAATAAACATGTAAATCTCGTGTGTAACATAATTCATAGATTCAATTCAATTCATAGATTTGATCACAATATAATTTAAGTTGAATCCCATGAACAGTTTGCAGTTTGAAATCAGTATTTCAGATTCAAAACTAATATTTAGCATATGTCTATATTTTATGTATACATTTATGAAAATTGAATCGATTGTTCATATATATAGGCACCGGTTCCAAATCGCGTTCTATAGTTATATTTATACGAAATCTGGTTTCGGGCCATTATTTTACATACAACGTTTGAATTTCAAATTCATTCGTTTACGTTCTCTATCGAAGGTATTCAAATTCACATTTTTATGAATATTTGCGAAAGTAGCTATAGAAATAACGAAATAACAGTTTTTAACAAGTTATTGTTCAAATTTAGATAATGCATGCAATAATTTGAATATGTTGATTTATAAATACAAAGCTATAAAAAATTGAGTGTAAAATCATCTAAAGCAATTTATTTATCAATATACGAGGTTGATAATGAAAAAAATATAATAAAAATGTAGCACGAACGTTGCCACCTGAAGAACTAATCAAACCTTCTGCATATTTCTAAATATGGTCGAATTTTGAAAGATTTTTTTTTATTTCTCAAGATTCAATTACAATCTGTTTTTAAAATACAAAAAAAAAAATTAGTAATTATGAATGACAATATGTACTGTTATGACAAAAATAGAGTTTACCCATTGGTATCAATTTTTGTGTTGATTGAAAAGATGTTTAAGAAGCTTAACTGGTATTCTAAATACATAATAAAAATAGTGAATTCAATGAAATAACAATAAAAATAACAATATAATAAATGCAAGCTTTAAATGTAGTCAGGGTGCAGCTATAGAGTTCATATCTTATATATAAAAATGAATCGCAAAATGTGTTGGTAAGCGCATAACTCAACAACGCCTGGACCAATTTGGCCAATTCTTTTTTTAAAATGTTCTTTGAAGTCCAAGGATGGTTGTTACGGCGAGAAAAAAACGAATAATTGCCGGGAAAACTCTAAAAACAGCCCTTTTCTTCTTTGATCGAGTAGGCAACGCAATTTGTAAAAAAAAACAATGATCTATGTCATGACATTTTGTGTAGTTTTTGATAATCTAATTTTGAATATATTTATATAAGCTTAGAAATATCTTTCTATTAATTAAGCTATATTGGCAGCCAAAAACATTGATGTAAATAAATTAAATTTCAAAATTCAAGAACAAATTACAGGCGAATCAGTTGATTTGGCTACTAATCAAGACGATCCACCGGAGTTTTTAAACTCGCTGGATTTGCTAGGATTGTCACCTCACAATCTTCAATTAAAGATTGAATCGGCAATTATAATGTTGCGAAATATCGACCAACTATATTCAAAGGATAGTATAAAGCAGAAGATGTTCTCGCACAATGCATCCCAATGCGTTTCCAGTGCGTTTTTGGTATCATTAAGTGTTTGTGGTATTAATTTAAAAAAAAAAACATGTTTCTCACATGGAAAATTGTATTTTGTTTGTTCCCGTATTGGAATTTGTTTGTCTATGCGCCAGGTAATCCATCAAAAAACATCGTTTATCACAAAGCACTACAATGAAAATTGAACTGATGTTTGAATTATGATTCACACGATTAAAATTACTTACTTTTAAATGCTTATAATGTTTTATTTAATTATTTTTAATTCACACCGAATTATTACGAGGGTGACGGTTCTGTTCAGGATCATTTTTTTGCAAAGAATAGGAAAAATGTAGGCACAAAACACCGCCACATTAAAATTTTTTTTGACAGGACGAAGTCTGTCGGGCCGGCTAGTGGTTAATACAAATTTATTAACTTCCCGTAGGGTAAGTTATAGTAATGGACAAAAAGTTATAGTAATGGTTCAGAGGTTTTTGAACATTTTAGCATACCTCTGAAAAAATGGATGTGTGTGCGTGTGTGTGTATGTGTATGTGTGGAGACGAATTTTCGTCGACGATTTCGGGGTACGGATTATCCGATCTGAATGATCCAAAAATCATTCGATTTGTAATGATGGGAAGAAGTAGTAACTAGACTTTGGCAAAGGCAGGTCCAGCCGTTTCGGAAATATAGAGCGAAATGTGCAAAAAATGGCAGTTCTTGAGGAATCTAAGCATTCGATTTGAATAATTTAAAAAAAATCAGTGTGTGTTGTTGAAACGATTGTTTTTGAGGAAAGATTTTCTTATTTTAATTGCTTTGAATATCGAAAAATAATTCAAATTTTAATTCTAATTCTAACTAAAGTTTTAGACATCACGTATATACTTCAAATAAATAATTTGAACTTTGCAATTCAGTTTATATAATTTTTAGAAATATAAGACAATGTTCTACATTTTAAATCCGATTGATTAAGATTTGTTTATTTACTTTTTATAAAATCAGAAGAATGAAAGTTACATTATTTATAATAATCTATTTGAAAACATTTAATATTCCTTTAATAATAAGGTACGCAAAATTCCAGCAATTTGTCTTGAGGCACGATGCCATACACCACTAGTTTAAATTTTTGTCTATCTATATGTTTGTTCCGGCTAATGACCGAAACCGCTGAACCGATTTTGACTATAGTTTATAAATTATTACGAAGTTTTTTCTATGGAGCTTTTTTCGGTATAAACTGCGCTGATCTCTAAATTCTGATATTCACTATTTATAAAAATTTTGAGAAAAAAAGTTGTGAAAAGTATTTTTTCATTAGACAAAAAAAAAATTGTTTAAAAAATTTTTTGACTTGTCCATAGTTCATACGATTGCGACATCATTCTAGATTAATAATTTCTTACATATTTTTTTCTTCAGAATGTTGTGAGGGCTAAAATCATAGTGCTAAAATCATGATGAGTGCCAAGTTTTTGAAACCCTCCACTTTACCTTCTAAAATTGAAACTTTATGACTGTTGGTGATGTTTCGTGATTTTATATTCTCAAGACATTTATTAATGACTTGTAACAAAAATTATAGTAAAAATATTGCTTGCTTTTTCTGACGTCCTTTCCAAAATCGTATAAAATTTGTCTCTAGACCAAAATGCCCTCTTAATAAAGTTTTTGGTGGAACGAAATCCCCACGTTAATCGAGGTAATGTCGTACTTCTATTATTGCAGGATAATATTAAAAAAAAAATTAATAATATTAACAATTAAATGGAACAGTAAATCTGTTAATAATAAACAATTTCAAGTCATTATCAACGGCAATCCTCAAGACAGATGGACCTTCAGAGAGAACAAAGAAACCGCATGGACGCAAAGGAATTCAATTCGTCCTTTTGCTTCTCCCGCAGAATGCAATGATAGAAAACTATTAATTTAAGCCAACAATCAAAACATTTGACTGTTTCCTCTACAAGTCTCGTCTACTATATTCTTATCTCTTGTTTATTTTGACTTCTTTGGCCTTTTTTTGGTCGTTTTATCGTTTTGGCGAAAGTGATCCCTGTTTCTGTGCGTATCTAACACTATATAACCACGGTCTCTCGTGTACAAACAAATTCGCGCATTAGTTTTAATGCAGTATAAATAGAAGTGCGGCGAAGGTACGTGCATGTTGTTGCTCTTTTGCGGACGTTTATTTTTTATAAGAGTCCCACATCAGACTTTAACTAAGTACTTGCCGCGCTTTAATGTCCACAAACACACAAACATACACATACACATGTCGCAATTAAATTGATACACAGGTTTGTATTAAATATTTTAACGATTCATTCGAAAAATATGAAAAATGTTATGCTGCCAATTCGAGATCAATACTGGCACGCGCTCCATGGAACTTGCCCATTGATAGATGTCCACTGGGATCTTTGTACTTTTATCATATCACTAAATTTAGTACTTAGTTTTATAATTGATGCATTTACGTACGAAATAAGTAACTCTTAAATTAGCAACTAAGTAAATGCAGATTTTTGTTAGGAAACACAATTTGGTTCATGGAACTGGACTACTTCATTCTGTAATGTATTGTCTGCGCAGGGATATTAAACCCAGTTTCTTAAAACTTTTAGTTTTTATTAGCAAAAACGGAATCAGGTAGAATTTGACACCATTATGAATATTCAAAAGTAATCAGAAGGTGCAAGATTAGAACTGTGGATATGGCAAAGCATTCCAAACAAATTTCAATTTTTTTTTTTTGCCGAGTGGCTAAAGATATTTTATGTCAATAATGAAGGCTCACTCGTAGGTTAAGAGCGACAGTACTTCGACCAGCGTGTTTTCAGGCAGTAGTGACAACAATTTTCACTTGGAAATATATATAGCAATATGTTTCCATGTCTCCGACAAATCGGAAAAATTAAAGTGGACAGACAAAGTAACAAATGAAGAAGTCCTGAGAAGAGTGGACGAAAAAAGGACTCTACTGAGCACAATTCTGAGAAGGAAAGGAAACTGGATCGGTCCTCCTTTGCAAAAAGAGTGCCTCCTGCACGACGTCGTCGAGGGTAAAATAGAAGGACTGAAAGGAGTGAAAAGAAGAAGAATGCAGACGATTGACGACTTACGCGAGAAGAGAAAATACAGGGAACTGAAAGCAGAATCACATGATCAAGAAGCATGGAAACAGAAGTTTGGAAAGGAAAAAAAAAGGGGAGACGGAATAGTGGTAATGGGATGAAGGGTAAAGAAATCATTTCTATGTGGTGGCTCTCACACCATGGAACTGCCTTCGGGCAGATTACCATTTATTATTAATATGTTTGCCCTTGCCGGGCAATGCTTCTTGCCCGGCATTGCTGCACCAATAAAAATATTCGCCGTATTACAGAAATTGTAATACTAATATATCGTACAGAGATGTGAGAACAGATTTGGTTGCCATCTGTCAAGCATACTAATATTAAGCCAAAATTAGCACAACAGCTTATAGAACTATTAGGTTCTGATTGCTGTTCAAAAATAGCAAAAAAATGTCAATAATGGAATGTATCACCGTTTCTATTTGCTAATTTAGACCGCTTTTCTTCGACTGCGTTGTTCAACGTTATTAGTTGTTCAATGAAACATCAAAATTGATGATTAGGTTGTATGGTAAGAGTAAAAGTAGACAATTTCTTAGTAATCAACTTCATCTGGACAACCAGAGCGTTTTATACCTTTCAGTGAAAAATCGCCAAAACAAAATTTGGCAAACCATTTTTGACACGGCCATTTTTTTAGGCTTCGACACCGTGAACAGCTCATAACTTTTTGGATAACTTAAGTTTTTTTTGCCTTTACGGAAATAAAAAAGCAAAATATGATATTTACTGATGGACATCTAAATTGCCTATTATTCATTAACAAAAGGTATTTTACATTTGGACTACGTCCTAGTAAACCTAAAAATTTAATTGAAACCATCTAAGCTGAAAACCGCATTTACTTAGTTGCCAATCTAAAATTTTATGATGCCGTATGGTATAGTATTACTTTGATATTGAAATATATTAAAAAAAACTTTTAACTCACGCAATCGATATAATTTTGTAAATTTTGTAAAAGTTTGATTTTACAAATGAAAGAAATAGCATGTTTTTATTGCGGCAGATCTAACGACCTCGTCAACATTACTTTTCATCACTTTCTACGGTTTTTAACCATTATCTATCTAGTTAAATTACATTGTTTCTACAAAATTATATTTTATCAGCCCTTTATTGAAAAAATATAAAACTTTATTGTAGTAACTATTAATTCTTTCCACTCGGATGCCGCTCCGGCGGCAAAATTCATATAAATCTCGGATTTCGCGAGTGGAAAGGGTTAATGTACATAAAAATTCTCTCGGTATCTGCTTCTTTCTGAATCTTTATGGAATCTCTATTTTTTTAATTACGATTTGTATACTCGTTAATGAACAAGATAATGTCAACGTCGAATAACATAAATGCCAAATTATAATTTTGTGACAGAAAATACGTTAAACGACTATTTGTTTCGTATAAACAAAGTTTATATCAAATTTTGAAATTTTATAAGAATATGTTTCGTGTACAAAATAACAAAACTTTTTGACTCTTATGAAGTATTTTTTACGAAATTTCAAATACAATTTATTGCTTCGTTATTGATTGATTGATTATCCCATTAGATCCTTAGATTGGATTCTATTAGATCTTGAACGTATGAAGTAAACATTCTTGTTGGATTTTAATCTTATACTTTCAAATTCTTTTTTAAAAATATATAATTATATATATATATATATATATATATATATATAATTATAATTATAAATATAGACAATGTGCTTACCAAGTAATTTGTTTGATTCATCCCATTTATCGGAGAAGAGTTTCCTGATGTGTCAATTCCATTTAACGGTGAATCATATTCAGACGACGTCTAAAAATAATGATACAGACGATCTTATAAAAATAAGCAAAATATTAAAAATTAATTTGTTAATATATTGAGAATTCCTATCACACATATATTCTAGACATAATTTATTTCTAGTAAAACAAATCTTTGATTTCTTTGTGACTGACTGAGAGTGAAAAATTCAGTTCTTTGTGACATTTTTTCCATGCAAATTTATGAAAAATAATTTTACAAATTTAATACATAATTACCTCTAAAAGGTCTTCTAGATTCAAAATATATTCTATGGCGTTTCTCAAAATTTCGACTTTCGGAAGCCTTTGATTCGGATTCGTACTCGTCCGTCGCTTCAATAATTCGAACGCTTCGTTCACCTGAAATAATGAAGATTTTAATTATTTAAATGAAATCCGAAACTAGCTGTAAGTGGAATTCTGTCTTAAGGCAATTAGGGCATCGTGCCTTAAGGCAAATTGCTGGAACTTCCCGTACCAAAAATTATTATTTTTTTGAAAACGATTAACATTTTTGAAAAAAAATTACTTCAAAAAAATTAGATTTTTGAGAAACTATAAATTTGACAAAAAATTACTTATTTTCGAAAAAATTTTTATTTGACAAAAAAAAATTTTTTGAAAGAAATTTTTTTTTTGAAAACAAAAAATTTTTTGAAAAAAAAAATGTTTTCTTCATTTTGACATATTTTGTAAATTCTGAACTTTTTTCAAAGCAATCGTACTGCTTGAACTGCGCGCGAGTGCCGCGCCGCCGTCTAACGCATAAGCATTGGTACGGAACCCATAAAAATGTAAAAAAAATTACACTTATTGTTAAAATCTCTATAAAATATCTGATAATTTGATGTGCATATTTCTAATGATCATTTTTAACCGCCGAATGGCATTTTTTTTTACTTTTTTCATTAGATCTCCGAAATCGCTAGACCTGCCTTCATGAAAATTTGATCAACTCTTCATCTTGTCAATACAAGTAAAATGTTTTTTTACTTGTTTGCGATTACTATAACTTGCCCTACGGGAAGTTAATAATAATTGTTTAAATAAATAAGAAAAATATATACAATGTAATTTTATATTAGTTAGTATAATAATTAAGATTATTCTTAAAAATCGACATGAGAAAAAAATAATTTTTGTGTGGAAGATTTACGAAAATTGTCTTCACATTTCAAGATGTTTTTTGCAATTTTATATTTTTTTATATAAACACACATACACACAATATAGGTATCTCGGGGCGCAAAGATCCGTGGGTAACAAGAATCACCATCATTATTTCAAAAACAAGCATCGTATAGAATTTTATAATTATACTATTTTAAAGCAGAAGGCAAAAGATGTGTGACCAGTCATCATCTTAGTTTATACGATCATCGCTATCAGGAGATAAACAGCAATGTTTGAAAATCCATAACAAAAGTATTTTCCTTCGTTATTAGTGTTTTTGGTTCTGAGCACTGTTGTTTAGTTTAAGAGACCTTAATATAAGATTTAAATATATGATATTTAATTTTTATTTTATAATATATATTGTTAATTTTATATTAGATTCAACAGATGTTTATATATGATCTCTTTAATAGCTCACATGAGTGTGGGGTAAAGAACACCTGAACTTTTCCTTGGAAAAGGTGTAAACAATAAAAAAATATTAAATAAAAATGTTAACTAAGTTCAAAAACGCAATTTTATCAGAAAAATACGCTTATTAATATACAGAATTAAATAAATAGTTATTCCAACTTTGCTGATGAATATGTCAGACAAAATACCAGATCAAGGTTATGTACAGTGTTATCTTTGTAAAAAATGTATCCATAGAACTTAAATTTTGCATTTGTTGAATAATATAGCTATTATTTCGTAAAGTGCCTTTAAAACTAAAAGTAAGGCATTGGAGCTGTTTGCCTCCTGGTCGTCCCATTTTTTCACCGCTTATTGGGTAAAAAGAACCAGGTGACAAATTTTTGAAAAACAGCGAAAAAACACATTTTTACAATGATGAATTAGCTGGTAGTTTTACTGATCCTAGTCAGATAGTAGTTTGCTTAATATGTGCTATTTGTTATGATATAATTGTTTGATTTTCACAATCTAATTGATCAAAGTCAATTTATATCTTTATGTCCCGTCCTACCCTATATATATATATAATAGTCGAAATAAAAAAAGTTAGAAAAACATTCTTTATTAATTATACATTTAGACACTGTATGCCATCATTTAGCAAATCAACTAGGACATAAACAAATAATAAAATTATTTTCAAAAAATATTTTGAAATTTTTATAAGCAAAAACAACACAACTAAAAATTCAAATCAAAAATGAAACTTGTCCTTTAGTTCAATTTTTTATTTAAATTTTTAGTTATGTGTTGTTTTAGTTTATTAAAATTTCAGTTTAGGAGGCACCTAAGCAAAATAGGTACTTATCAGTTCACAATTGACAATGTAATATTTTTGTCAACCAAAACATTTACAAATCTCCAATCTTCGAATTGTGTGATTTAATGTAAATAATTTATATTAAGCTCATGGAAATAATTATTTTCTATTGTCTAATCAAGAAATGCTAATATAAAAGCCATGTTTATGCGAGTATGTATATACAAACAATATTTGCTAATTATAACATTTACAAATCTTTTAACAATACAATTATTCGCACTGCGGAATTTAATGTAAATATTTTCATATTAAAGCTCATAGAATTTTTTTTCTTCGATAATCAAGAACTGCGAATGCGAAAGCCACGAGCATGTTTTCTTGCGGATTGTAAATAAACTTGTTTGTTATATTTCATTGTAATTAAACAATTCTTATCGAATTATTAGCGTAACTATAATTGACATTCTTTATGCAATGAGTCATTTAAGTTTTGCGATAAAGTATTACTAATAATAATTATTAGTATAAATAGGTTCGTGTGGTGAGTTAAACTCACCTAGGGCAAATTCGTGTGGTGAGTTAAACTCTAACTCGATGCTTGGGAAAAATAGTGTGAGATAGATATTACCCTTTGCCATTTTACACCACAGTGTCCGGAATGGGCTATTTTCAATTGGAAACATATTTTTGATCTATATTTTTAAGTGAAAGTAGTTCTCTCTACTGCACGTTGTCAGGTTGTTCAGAGAGAGGTTCGAACTTACGAGTCCGTGAGCTTATCCATGGAACACCCAACTATTACTATTCTAATAATTAATACCAATACCAAATGCTAATAACTATGTTAATAATGTTCCAAGACCATTACCTTCCTCAATCGTCTCCTTTCCCTCAGAGTGGCAGCTTTCCTCCTGTCAACAGTTACAGTTTTCCTTTTGCAAGCCTTGCAAGCCCACGCCAGGCACCCCATCGAGGTATCACCAGAGCAATGTCCCAATTTCCCCAAAACAGGATTCAGGACATGCTGCTCTTCCTCACCTGACGAGGACATTGTTTTATCGAAATCCGTCGACGATGCATTATCAGCAAATCCCCCATCCGCCATTTTATCATAATCATCATCGGCTGTCATTTTGTCAAAATCAGCCATTTTGCAATCTTCGTTTTCCATCGACATTTTGGCGTTTCCATTACAGTAATTGTAATCTAAATTATTTTTGCGGTGTTTTTGAGGAGATCTATTGGTTTTCCGGCGACTTTTTGGGCTCGTGGAGGTTCTTAGATTAGTTTTGGTGGTATCATATGAAGTATACATGTCTTCACGTTGTGATATTCGTTGTTTTAAAAATCTGTCTAAAATTGCGTTGTTTATGCTGTTTTGTGTCTGACCATTTTGCTCCATGGCGGAGGAGGAGATCGAAGAGTGATAGAAGGGTTCTGGGATACAAGTCCGATTTTCAAATTTCATTTTTATGATTGTAAATAATGATTATTTTGTATAGCTTGTTTGGTGCTTTTTGTTTGAAAAATTGTTGTCACATAAAACTGATAAGCTTTGCGCTCATGTTAAACTTTATACCATCACGATTACTTCATCTTATAGTAGATTCATATATTTTATTTTATAGCGTCTAATATTCTTATTTATAAAACACTTTTTTATTCACTAAACTATTTAAGAATAATTAAAATTCACTAACTTGTTCAAGATTTTGAATGCAACTATCTTCACATTTATAACTTATAATAACAAAGAACACAAAGAAAGCCCGGCAATGTGCAATTAATATTTTTATATAATTAATTTTAATTATTTAATTTATTTATTAAATTCAATAATTATCCTCACAAAACTTCACGGACACTTTGTCACTATATTTCAGTTTATACGACTAATATTAAAATAAATTTCAAAATGTCATTTAAATTGCAACGATTTTTTACCGCGCGCTCAAAAATCGAAAAAGCGTTTTCTCTCATCAAACTTCTGCGTCAAACTAAAAACTTTTTACTACATGCGTGTGTGACAGATGTGACAAAATTATTTTTTTTCGTTTCTCATACGATTTTCTCAAGCCAACGTTTGCATTTTTAGTGGGAGAGCTAGTATGAATTTTTACTACTGATATGAAAAATTTAAAATTACTAAATATCAGTTTATGAAAATTTTAAGATAGTAAGATCATGTGTTTAGTTATTAAATTTTTCTTATTTTGTTTTATATCATATTATTGTATATTTATATATATTTTATTTTTCACTCCTATATAAGACCTGGCTAAGATCATATGACATAGCTACAGTCTTGATGTGAGTTTCAGAATTAAATAAATTATTATAATAAAAAAAGAGTGCGCGTAAGGTTCACACGCAATTTAAGTAAAATTTATTTGCTACTGTACAAGATGGTATTTGAGTAAAAATAAATACGTCATATAACAATTTTGAACACTGTTTATTAGTAATATGGTAACACTCGTGATGCACACATTTATTAATGTCAACCATTATACACATTTATATAATAATAAATTATAAATTATATATTTATGATTGTATTAAAAATATGTATAATATTTAAAAACATTAATGTAATTAAAGTCATACTTCAAATATGGCATGATCGGTTTGGCTTCGGAATTAGCATTTAGCGATGAACCTTCATTAGAGAAGTGAAGTAATTGCTGATTAATAAATTCTATAATATTCGTTCACACAGTGGATTATGTTAAACAACGCCTAAACAATTAACTATACTCGAAGTATATGAGAGGCGATTTTCACTTGAGATCTATAATCTGATGTGGAAATTTGACATCAAACCTGCCTGACGTCATGCTTTGGCCGAAGTTGAACCAGCAAAGTATTTATTATAAATCATATACATAAATTGAATCTAAAAGCGAGATAAAAACTTCGTATAAAGTTCAGTAAGAAAATGAGAATTCCACTGACAATCAAGATTTTTCTTCTTATTTATAGAAAATAAAATATATGACCGTAAATATTAAACGCATGACTTTTTTATGAAGTAAAATACATCCCCGTTTTGGCATGAACATTCTTGGATTCCACCTTGTGTCCCGGGTTTTTCTAATAGCAATATTTGTCCTGGGCTTAGATCGTTTGTCTCGGTTTCCAAAAAGTATAGGTAGAGTAAATTGAATATTCATAATTACTAGATAATAAAATCACAACTACCAAGAAATGCATCATGAATGAGAAAATTTCCGAAGGCAAGATAAAATAGCACCTCATATTTCTAATTCTGTTAACACACTTTAAGACAGAAAATAAAATGTAAGAATTTGAGTAGGATGAAGAATTGGAAAGAGTAAAAAAAATTGTGTACTTTATGAAATAATTACGATAAAATTAAACGTCATTCAACTTACTAAAAAATATTATTTTATACAATTGACAATAATTTGAAAAAAATAGACTTATAACCATATAACACATCGTTTCAAATTGATCATTGTCGTGCGATTCTTCTGAAGATAAAAAATCTTATTGCTATATAAAATTTTCAAATCTCTAATGAAAAAAATTAAAAAGCCAATTTTCAGATAACATAGTAATTTTATGTTAGGGGCCATAACCGTATTAATTGGTAATCACGATTTCTCAAAAAGCTAAGTCTTTTCTGTTCGATCGAGCGTTTCAAATATAAATTCTAACCATATATTTGGTAAGACTTTGGTCAGACTTCTCGTATGTGTTAATAAAATGGCACCAGGAATTTGCACTTATGATAAAATAATTTGACGTTGGTGCTTTTTGAGGTTAGGTTTTATGTGGCAAACGTCTGATCTTGTAGCAAATACATAGCTTTGCGACAGTTTATGACTACCAACTCATACGATTATAGACCCGTAACATAACATTTCTATGTTATCCTAGAATTGGCCCCTCAATTGAATTAAAAGCAAAGTTTCTGAAACGCACTTTATTTAATAAAAAAAATCTTATTCCTAATCAGGTCACCTGATTTTTCATTCCTGTCCAACTATTTTCCACCAGCTATCCGACAATCGAATTAAAATCGTCTTACACATTTCCTTTACAAATGTGTTAGTTACTTAACGCACACTGCTACATTTAAGTTAAAATTTGACTTCGGGTGGGGATATAAGTTTCTGTCAAGTCGAAATATTTGTTTTGGGGGCCAGACGGATCTGATCGGGGCGGAGTCTCAGACATTGGCACTTGAACACAATATTAAGAAAATTATGTAATGAAAATTGATGGTTAATCCAAACGATTTTGTGGGACCATTATTTTATTAGCACTAGTCGGTAGATGACGATGTGAAAATTGGAGAAAATAGAGAGATGATATAAAAGATTTTTTTTTAATTTATTCATTAATAAATATCAATCAGCCTAAATAATACTAAATGATATATTTTGCTTATATTATATATACCAGTACTCATTGTTGGGCTGAAAGGGATGCCTCTTTTTTCAGGAAATATTAATAACAAATTAAAAAGAAATATTTTCACCTCAACCTTGGCCAACTCAGTATCAAACTAGTGGTGTATGGCATCGTGCCTTAAGGCGAATTGCTGGAACTTTCCGTACCGTAACGAAATGTTAGAGGAATATTAAATGTTTCCAAATAGATTATTATAAATATTATAATATAAAGATTATTAAAAAAATGCGGACATACAAAAGACACACACATATCCATCTTTTCTGAGATATGCCAAAGTGTTCAGAAACTTTCAAAACGTCGAAAAATGCAAAATACTTAATTTTCGATTTTCGGCCCATTACTATAACTATCCTACGAGTAGTTAATAATATGATACTGAATTTCACTTGTGATCAAATATATTTTTTGAAAATATCCTTTAGGAGGCATTGCTGCAACATACGCACATAACTATTAGATATATATCTAATATAATCGCCAAACATAGGAGAATGATTAACTCATGGGTTGTTTCTCGAGAAATAGTACATCACATAAAAGTAGAAGTTATTTTATAGTATTTTCATTTTTTGCATACGTTTCGACATATAATCTTATTAGTACATCTTATTAATTTGTAATACCTTCACAAAAGCACATCCAAACTAAATCTTGTCAATTTAAATAAATAATTATTGAATGAATGTTGAATGTTTCAAAATGAAACTTTCGAGGCAAACTATTAGAGAGACGATATTTAGTGAAGCTGTGCTTTTGTGAATATATTGCAAATTAATTAGGTTTACTTCAGTTTATATTAGCACTGAAGTTAACATAAGATTATATGTTGGAACGTTTGGAAAAATTAAAAATGTTTGTATAATTTTTTTTATTTATTTGGGTACGGTTGTGCCAGGGTACGTTAGAGAATAGTGACAGTTGTCATATATACTAAACTATAATGATTTTGAGATAGAGTTCAAAGGGAGAAAGACGAAGTATGTTTGTTCGAATAAGTTTCCATTATTCTTTTTTTTTTTTTTTTTTTTTTTAAATTTTTATTGGCCTCCGCTTTACAGCATTTTTAGCCACATACATTATTCATTTTATTCTTCATCATATTCTATACAATTCTTACATATATATTTCTTATACATTCATCATATATATACTATCTCTTCTTATATCCTAATCTTCCATCCAATTTTCATTCTTCTTCTTGTTTCTCAATATGTTCTTCTCATCTCTAAACTTCTTTTTTCCTATTTACTTCTATTTTTTCTCGTATTCTACAAATTAACAATTATTTGGAAGCGCCAGGAGTCGAACCATCGATCTCCGGCATGTGAGTCGGACATGCTACCTCTGAGCTACGTCCGCCACATTATTTCTTTAAAATGAACTTTTGAGATTATTTTGCTGAAAGTTGAACATTAGTAGTCATTTATCAGCAATCAGTTTATGCTTAGATAAATAAGCTCTGTTAGAATGATGATTTGTTTTCAAAAGTGTGCGTTGGGTACGATTGTGACAAATTTTGAAGGCATGGTTGTGACATGTATTTCTCGTCTTTTTCGGGTGAAGATTGAACAGATGATGAACATATTTCTGATAATAAAGGTCGTTTTGATATAAGTCGTTATTGTTTTTTATTCTGTTTTTATGTCTGTCACAACCGTCCTGGGGTTGTGACACTCGTTTTTTTCTTGTATTATTTGATTTTACGACTAATCAAAAGTATTTAAGGACAGTATTTCAGTATTTTTACGTAGACAAATTAACAAAATTACCATTAAATTTACTTCTCTTCCAGAAAACTAGCAAATTAACAAAAAAATGTGGCAGAGCGAAAAAAGTGGCACAACCGTACCCGGTCTTCTCTACTGCTCTGAAGAATTTGTCATAAAATTTTTTTTGAAAAAGTTTCACAATTTACAATATTTTTAATTTCCACGTGTATCACGTGCTAATAGAATAATA